TGCCTCCTCTGTTTCTGTCTCACGGTTTCTTTCTTTTTTTAAACTTTATTTTCAATTTTTCAAAGAACTTTTTTTAACAGACATAATTAAACAAGATACAAGACATACAGTAACAAGCATAAAACAATATTGTGAACAACAGTGATTGTGTGGATGAGAGCAGAGTGTGGATCTATATGGTAAGAATATTGTTCTCATAGACCGTAAATTAAAAATCAAAGCAAGTTATCACCTCTTGCTGTGAGATACGGGCTCGTATTTATACTTTTGCAGTCTCGAACTGGAAGTCATGCGTTCCATACACTGGATGTTTGTGCTTATTGCTGTCCACTGGTCAACGGTACGAGGTTCCCTGCAGAGCCATCACCTTGTCATCGCCTTTTTGCTCGCTGCCATAAAGAGTTTTAGGAGATATCGATCACCTTTAGGTAGGCTGAGGTCAACATCCCCCAAGTAAAATGACATACAGGTGAATTCGGCATCATAACAAAGGACTTCCCTGACAGCACCGTGGACACTGTCCCAGAAGGCTTTAAGAATGCAGCATCCCCAGAATATGTGTATGATCTGCTTCACAGTGTCCACATCCTCTCCAGCATTTGAGCTGTGACCCAGTCTGTCTGGACTTTTGTTTTGGACTTATAAAATATCTGATCCAGTTTTTCCATGAGAAGTCCCTCCATGTCTGTGAAGCAGTAGTTGTGATTTGTGTGTTGATTATGTTTGTCCATTTCTCAGGGGTAATTACGATCCCTAATTCTTTTCCCCATTTTGCCTTTACATAATTTGTTGAGTGGCCTCTTAATTCGACTATGTACCTGTATAACTCTCCGATGATCTTACTGGACAATTCTGTATTGTAGGCCCTGATGAACACTTGTGTTATACCCGATGGGTTTCTTGGTAAGAGTCCTTTAACATTTTTATCACAATAGTGGAGTTGGAGGTACCTGTAGAAGCCCTGTCGAGCAAAGCCCTATCTGTCCGACATGGTTTTAAAATCTGAGAGTTCCCCGTTATTGACCACTAGGCACAATGCTGTGAGACCTTGTCTCTCCCACTGGGTGAACCCTCCGCCCTCCACAGCAGGCTTAAAGTCTGGGTCATATATTGGCCACATTAAGATTCTGATTTCTTTCTGGATGTGAAGTTGTTTTACCATACTGGACCAGATGTCTATAGAAAACCTAACCCACTGGCTCTGAATATCGTATTGTTTGGCAGTTAGTGGACATCCTAGCAGGCTTTGCAGAGGCCTATCTAGCAGCGAGAGCTCCATGGCTTTCCATTTTGAAACATATTCTTGATTACACCAGAGCATGAGTGGCCTTGTCTGTGCTGCTAAATAATAGTCTTTGAGATTGGGTAAGCCCGTCCCTCCACCGTGTTTTTGCAGCTGCAGAGTTTTGTATCTCACTCTAGGGGCTTTGCCGTTCCAGACGAACCGAGAGATCACCTTGTCCCATTCTCTAAGTTGATTGTCTGGGATATGAATGGGTAAGGACTGAAACAAGTAAAGTAACCTGGGCAAAGTGTTTGTTTTTATCACCATTATTCTGTTACCCAAATCCAGGGGCCGAGGGGCCCATCTGTCAAAGTCCTCCTCCGTGAGTACATTATACAGCTGAGATATGTCTTTTGTTAATGTCACACCTAAATATTTAATGGACGCATAGTCCCAATTAAACTTACACTTATTTTTTAGATCTGGTGATGGAGTAAAGTTGAACACCAAGGCTTGTGTCTTATCAATATTGAGAGTATAGCCTGATAAGGCTCCATATGTCTGCAACAAATCCATTAATCTAGGAACTCCAGACTCCGGGTTCTTGAGGCTAACTAAAACGTCGTCCGCATACAGACATGTTTTGTACTCTGTCTCTCTTATCGCGATACCTTCTAGATCCAGGTCTTGTCTAATGGCTTGAGCTAGCGGCTCAATGAATAGACTGAAGGGCGATGGGCTGGACGGGCAACCCTGGCGACAGCCGCGTTGTAGATGTATTGTTCTGGAGAGACCTCCATTTACTTTGATTCTGGCTGTAGGGATGTGTATAATGTTCTGATGCTGTCAATAAACTTCTCCTGGAAACCACATTTTTCCATACCTTTATAGAGGAACTGCCATCCCACCAAGTCGAGCGCTTTTTCCGCATCCATACTGCAGCAAAATTGCTCCAAGTTCTTCCTTTTTTATATATTCAATTATATGCAGGGTCCTACTTATGTTGTCCTGAGTCTGCCTGCACTGGATCAAACCAGACTGGTCCTCGTCAATGAGGAAAGGCATCACCTCCTCCATTCTTTCTGTTAAAATACCACAAATGTTATAATCCTGGTTCAGGACAGTAATTGGTCTATATGCTCCGCATTCTGTTCGGTCCTTACCCTCTTTTGGGATTACTGAGGTGGTGGCCTCCCTCCAAGATGGGGGAAGAACTCCCTCCTTCAAGGTGTAATTGAAACTCTTTTGTAATAATGGTATTTATTGCCCTCTAAATGATTTGCACCATTCTCCTGGAAATCCGTCAGTCCCTGGAGACTTACAGGATCTCAGGGAGGAAATCACCCTATCAATTTCTCCAGGAGATATTTCTTTAATTAGTTTGTCATTTTGCATTTTACCTAGAGAGGGCAGGTCCAGCTGGTCCAGGAATTCTTCCACCTTGTGGCTGTCCAATGTTGTAGGTTGAGTATACAAAGCCTGGTAGTATTTCTCAGATGCTTTTTGTGTTCCCTCTAATTTGTATGTTACCTTTCTCGTAATGGGGTCTTTAATTTCATAGACTGCATTTTGTGTTTGTTGTTTTCTCGGCCTCCAGGCTAATATCTTGGAGGCTTTAGATCCTGCCTCATAATATGTCTGTTTGGTAAATCTCAGCTTTTTCTCCACCTCGTCGCAATATATCTTATCACTTTCTTGTTTAATTGGTCTCATTTGCTGAAGTAATTGTGGGTCCCTGTTTTTACTGTGCTGTTGTTCGAGGTCTAGAAGTTGTTTTTGAAGTTCTCAGAGTCTTTGAGTTTTTACCTTTTTAACAAAAGCAGTTTCTGATATCATTTTCCCCTCAGAACTGCCTTGGCGGCATCCCGCAGTATCACTGCGTTCACATTCCCATCATCATTGTCCTCTAAGTATGCTTTTAGTTCATTCTTTATTTTTTTCTTGAACCCAGGGTTATTTAGCATACTAGTATTTAATCTCCATGTTGTTGTTTTACATCCACTATCTAAGTGTAGTTTTAAGTGGACGGGGGAGTGATCTGATATGTCCCTCTGACTTCTTTCACATTCTTTTAACCTGTCTCTCTGATTTATGCATGAATAAATCATCAGTCCTTGTGCAGGCATTATGTCAATTTGAGTAAAATGTGTACTGTCTAACCTGGTTGTGGAAGTCTCTCCAGACGTCTATCAAGCCAAGATCCTGGACTCTTCCTTTAAACCATCTTTCAATGTTGGAGGTTTTCTTTTTTTGATTGGTCGTGTCCAGCTTTGAATTTAAAATCATGTTGAAGTCGCCTGCGCAAATCAAAACTCCAGCACTTTGGAATGCAATTAATCCAGATTGTTTGTAAAGAACACCCTGTTGCTACCTGGAGGCGCGTAAACATTTAGCAAAGTCACCTGTTTACCATCTAGTTTAGCCTTCAGCGTGATGAAGCTGCCCTCTTTGTCTCTGGTTTCTGACAGAAGCTCAGAGTGGACAGAGTTTGGCATCAGAACAGCTGCATCCCTTTAGCGTCCTGTTTTGAACGATGAATAGTAAGTGTGTCTAAAGCCCTTTTCTTTAGCTTTTCATGCTCTTGGCTTGTTAAGTGAGTCAACAGACATGTTTACTGATTTATTTGACTTTATTTGTTTTATTTGTGTTCCCCTCCCCCACTTGCCCTACAGGTGCCCATGGCACTTGCCAGGCCGGCATTGTAAATAAGAATCTTGTTCTTAATGTCTTTGCCTGGTTAAATAAAGGTTAAATAAATAAATATAATTTGTGCCATCTCTCTCTTTACCGTAGATATCATTCTACTCCTCTTTATAGGGCTAGTCAAGCCATTTACATGAAGAGTGATCACCTTAAATTCCTTGTTCTGCATGTGCAGGCCACAGTTCTCTCAGACATGTGCTCACAATCCAGAACAATAAGAAATTCCTATAAACGATGAGCACAGAGCGGCAAACCGTTAATAACAGCTGGGCTTCCAATAAAGAGGCTGTCCGTTGGCTCCTGTACAGGGGCTGTTCCGACCACAGGGTGGCAGGACCCCCACAGGGTGGCAGGACCCCCTCAGGGTGGCAGGACCCCCACAGGGTGGCAGGACCCCCTCAGGGTGGCAGGACCCCCACAGGGTGGCAGGACCCCCTCAGGGTGGCAGGACCCCCTCAGGGTGGCAGGACCCCCACAGGGTGGCAGGACCCCCTCAGGGTGGCAGGACCCCCACAGGGTGTTAGTGTGGGTGGCTGTCATTCAGACTCTGTAGACTGACTCCCTTGTTCTTAAGTTAAAACAGGCCAGGTCAAATAAGTAAATGTTCTCTATATGCTAGCAGTGATCAAACCGTGTTCATAATTTGGGTTAAAGGTGGAAGTAAATAGACAAGGACAAACAACAGGTTAACAGTCCTCGTTGTCCGTTTCGGCCAGCCGGTTAAATCCACGGAGCTCGTCTGGATCCTCTGCTGATGTTCACTCTAACCCATACCACGACCCCTTTCTTCTCCCCCTGACACAGTTATTTACAGAAAACCACGTTGGTTGTAAATCTCCTGGATTTAAGGGGGTTTATGGCAGTTCAGTCAGGAGCTGAAACTTTAGGCTGCCGTCTTCATCGTCGCACGACCGGAAGTCTGTCGCATGGTTTCTTCACTTGCCGTGTTTGAGACATGAAGAAGATTTAGAACACATGAGCAGAACTTAGTGGACTCTGGTCTCCTCCGTGCTGAGGAGGACTGAGTCAGTCAGCAGAGATATGAAAGGTTTACAAATGACGAAGCTACGTCTTTAGAGCAAAGAACTTCTATATTTTTTAATCTTCAGCAGTTATTTATCAGTTTGCCTGAAACCAATCATTTTACCTCCACGATGACAAAGACAAGGTGAGGACACATTAGAGCATCAAACGGTTAATTACTGAACAAAACGAGACTTAAATTTCAGAATACATCCTCTGAGACACAGCGAGCTCTTCGTGCTTCACACAGGTGACATTTAGGTGTTCCGGCACCATGAGCGAACCATCAGACATCAGACATGAAGCTTCCTACAGAGCAATCTGAGCATCAGCTAAACTTCATACAGAGACGTCTTTCCTGCACGAATGCACTTTGAACAACAGACAACATGATTATGAATCATCATCATGTCATGGCACATCCCTCATTGGCTGCATACAGACACACATCTGATCAAGGTTTGCATATTCAGCGTTTCAGTTATCAGAAGAAAAGGATTTGACAGAAACAGTAAAACAGAATCACAGAGTCTGAGCTGGTGGGGAACAAGGAGGGAGAAGGAGCAGCGTTCATTGGATCAGTGTTTTTCTAACTGTGGTCTAATAACTCAGGAACATAAAACCTGCCACAGCTTCATTTAGTCATCTAAACATCTTCATGTTGGAGCCACTGCTTCATGATCTGCTGACAAAAACAAGGTTTACAGACGTGTATCTGATTTCTGCACCGCCATGTCGTCATGTGGAAGTTGGCTCTGTGGAGCTCCTTCACTGAACTGGCCATGAGCGTCCACAGAGGGACCCAGAGGTCCACATGACAACACTTTGCTGAAGATGAACTTCAGCTGTCTGCCAGAAACCTGCTGGTACCAGAAACTCTTCATTCTGCAAAACCAAGCCGACACCAATGGAAACACTAGAAGCTAACTGATGTCTTCGCTGCAAACGTTTTGCTTCTGTGACGGAAACATACGAGTCTGGAGTCGGTGCTGATCATCAGAGTCCAGTCTGAGCCTGTAATGAACTATCAGCACCGACTCACAGCTGCTGTGGTCTGAACGGCGCCGTCTGCAGCAGGTCGAGCAGACCCGCACAGAAAAACATTCCCTTTGGACTATTTTCTGGATCGTCAGCTGTTTGTCTCTAAGGTGTCAGAAGACGGTAAAAACGTGGATCAGCGTTTCCTCCCATGTTCAGTTTACTGACAGAGGAAAGAAACACTCAGTGGAGGAGCTGAAAGCAGAGAGTTCGCTCTATGGTTCATCTAAACAGACTGAGCAGCTGGTTCCTGGACTGTTCCAGGCAGCTGTGAGGTTTACTATGATCCTGATCAACGGAAGTCTGAAGCCAACACGAGCTTCAGCAGGAACTGGTGAACAAGCTGAAGTTTCAATCTGAGTAGAACATCTGTAAACCTTGTTTTTCTCGAGCAGATGTGCCTTCCTGAGCTTTCTGTGCTCTCCCTGAGCTTCATCACCTCCATCGGCACCGTTTGTACTCAGATCGACTGAAGCAGCAGCAGCAGAACCGGACGAGCTCCTCTGCTGGTTCTGCTCGGAGCTCCACCGGGAGCTGCATGTGTTCGACAGGAAGTCCGGAAGACGAGAAGACAGAACCAACGAGCAGAAGCGGAGCAGACGTCAGACCCTGACGAGGAAGTCGAGGCCGAGCGATGCCGGGAAGTGCAGCGTCTCCAGGCTGAGGGCGGACGGCGTGTACGGGAAGAGGACCGGGAAGGTGTGCTTGGTGTCCACCAGCAGCTGAGGAGGGTCGTTCCTCTCCTGGAGCCGGCTCTGGACACAAACAAACAGGAGGCTGTAACCACGGCAACAGGACCACCTGCCAGTTCACCTGCACCACCTGTGACCTCAGGGAAACTCATTTTAACCCAACGGAGATTCAGAAGGTAGATTTCTTTCAGATAACGTCTGCTTGGACCAACCGTGAATGATGGTCTGAACCTAAAATCAAGATAACTCATCAACATCACTTCATTCTATGTTTCACACTTAAAACTGCCCAAAAATGAATCGCTACCAACGACAAGATTCAGCCGGAAACCTGAAGCTTCCAGAGAGGGAGCCGTGGCTTTCAGCAGCAGCCCCTCCAGTCAGCCAGAGGTGTTTCTGCTGCCGGCGTGTTTCCACAAAGAGCAGACGAGGATGGAAAGTAGTTAGCATTTTAAAACAGTTAAACACTGGTAGTATGTGGAGCCGCCACGGTACCTGCAGGACTTAGAACTGGATTAAGAATGAATGGAAAACCTTCTAGTTCTTCTCGCAGATTAATGGGAGCAGCTGGACCTGCTTGAGCTCCTTGAAGACGTTCCACCTTCATCCAAGAGGCTTCATCAGCTCTGACTGACTGGTTGGGAGTTCCACATACTGATATCCACAACAGACCCTAACAAACCCACTGTGTCGGGGGAGCACTAACGACCCACATAACGAGGGGGAGGAGCAACAAACCCCCAATTAAAACCCAAACTCAGGTGTTAACGTCCTCTTCAGGATATCAGGATGTGGAACTCCCAACCAGTCAGTCAGAGCTGATGAAGCCTCTTGGATGAAGGTGGAACGTCTTCAAGGAGCTCAAGCAGGTCCAGCTGATAGCATTAATATACCAGAACAACTGTGACCTGGAGGACTGAGGATCTTCACAGACTCATTTTAGACAAGTTTCTGGACAGCTCTTACTTCAGTTTGGTTCATTTTACATGACTGTGGACACGTTCTAAGTTAAGGACGGATTCTGAGACACGTTGGAGTTCTTTTCTTTTTTTTTAAAGAATGATGGCATCTGATCTGCATGTCACGACTCAAACACCCAGACAGCAGAGAAATGGGTTTCTGTGGGTTAGAAAGACTCGGAGTGTTTTTAAGACTTTTGCAAATGATTTTCTGACTGAGTCCTGCTGACAGAACACATCTCTGACTTCTGGTTCTGGTTCCACAGAACTGCTAGAGTTCATCGTCATGTTCAGAGCTGCTGATCCTGATCCTGATTCTGTTCCAGTGTTTTATTGACATGATGAAACCAGAACACGGTCCGACATATCCCCTCCTGTCTCCCCCTGTTATTACTGTCTTTATATGTTTCTTGGATGGGATGTAAACTGTTCTTCTCGTTGCTCTGTACTTGTGACATGTGCAATGACAATAAATTGCTAATTGATTGATTGATTGATTGATAAACGTCACCTGGATGTTCCTGATGAAGGACACGGTGACTCGCTCCTCGAACTCGTTCAGAGGCGTGTACAGGTTCAGGATCTTCACGATCTGCAGGACAAACAGCACAACAGATCAGCACCAGCTCAGATCTGATCAGCCTTATTGATAACACTGGACTGTTTCTGGTTCTGGCACAGTGAACGTTCCTTGTGTGACGGGTCAGGGTCAGGTGATGCAGCTAAAGGAGGATCTGCAGCCTTGAAACATTCATTGAACTTTAAATATTAAATACAGTCCGTTTATCCGGACATGCCCGGATCTGTGTTCACCTTCAGAACAGGAACGTGAACCTCTTTCTACTTTATGACGCGTCAGAGTCGAAGGTTTTTACAGGAGTCGACAGTCTTTGGGAGTCGACAGGCTTCGGAAGTCGACAGGCTTCGGGAGTCGACAGGCTTCAAGAGTCGACAGTCTTTGGGAGTCGACAGGCTTCAGGAGTCGACAGTCTTTAGGAGTCGACAGGCTTCGGGAGTCGACAGGCTTCAGGAGTCGACAGTCTTTGGGAGTCGACAGGCTTCAGGAGTCGACAGGCTTCGGGAGTCGACAGGCTTCGGGAGTCGACAGGCTTCGGAAGTCGACAGGCTTCGGGAGTCGACAGGCTTCGGGAGTCGACAGTCTTTAAGAGTCGACAGTCTTTAAGAGTCGACAGTCTTTAAGAGTCGACAGGCTTTAAGAGTCGACAGGCTTCAGGAGTCGACAGGCTTCAGGAGTCGACAGGCTTCAGGAGTCGACAGGCTTCAGGAGTCGACAGGCTTCAGGAGTCGACAGGCTTCAGGAGTCGACAGGCTTCAGGAGTCGACCGTATCAATCGGGCTTCAAACACAGGAACAATAAAACAAAAGCTGCTGAAAAGGAGATTTCTGGTTCAGAGAAAAATGTCCATAAATATGAATAAAGTTTCAAATAAATGCAATAAAATGAAAGTGGCACAAATCTGCAAGAATGCAAATAAAATGTAAAAAATATGAATCAAGTTTCTGACAATTATAATAAAAATGTTTAAAAAAGAACGTGAGGAAAAACACATGAACACTCCAAACATGGGAGTAAAAACTATTGATCAGACTATTGATCAGACTGTTGATCAGTAGATCAGAGTCCTGATCAGCGTATTGAATAGAATAGAAAAAGACTTTATTTATCCCAGTCTGGGAAATTACTGTGGTACAGCAGCAGAAAGTACTATTTAAAAAATTACAAATAAAATAGATGAATAAAATAAAATAAATAAAACAACTGTACAAAATGTGCAAATTGATTGAGCGAATCACCTGCTGCATGGTCAGGGCAGTGCACAGCGAGCAGATGGCCTCGGCGTCCTGGGACGTCTTCTTCTTGACCTGCAGCAGCTGAGCGGCCTGGATGATGGGCTCTAGCGTGGCTGCAGCTTTACTCTGAAACAGGTTGTTTCCTCGGAGCCACTCCTCCATCTGACTGGTGTTGTACCTGAACACACAGACAGCATCAGAACCTGCTGGAGGTCCACGTGGTTCAGGTCTCTGTGCCTCAGCTGACATCCACCTTGGAGTCTGAACATCAAGGCTCTGAAAACATTGCTGGGACATCGCTGTGAAATCGCTGTGACATCATTGTGACATCATTGTGACATCATTGTGACATCATTATGACATCACTGTAACATCATACCTGAGCTGCATGCCGGTGCTCCAGGAGCAGACGTCTTTGCGCAGCAGCAGGTTGTTGAGTGTGACGGCGTTGATGCAGTGGAACAGCTGCCGGACCACCTGCCCAGTGATCTCCGGGTCGAGGCCGTGGTCCCTCATGGTGGCGTGGAACTGACCCAGCTGCCGGATCAGCGCCTGCAGTGTGTAGCTGCTCGGCCCGTCGGCGTCCGTGTCCATGCTGGACGAGCGGTTCCGGTAGCCCATTGGCTTCACGCCCGCCAGGCTGGGGATGCTCTCGCTCTCCAACATGGCCGACACTGAGCAGAACCAGAAGGTAGAGATGAAACTGCTGCAGATGGAACTGTGACAAACTAAATGTTCTGCTCCAGCAGCGACAACACAGTGAGTTACAGCCGAGACCAAACGTTCTCACCGATCATGGGCTGGATGATGCCCTCGGCCACCCGGATGAGCTGCTGGTAGATCTGGATCGACAAGTCGCTCAGCACCTGCCGGTACTCGGCCAGGTCGAAGTTCTTCAGACAGTGTTCGTTCTGTTTGCTTGTGTTCTGAGTCATGAAGGCCTGAAGACAAACAGCACAAATACATGACTGAAGCTCAGAGACACGACGGCGCAGCGGCGACAAACTGAGCGCGCTCAGACCTCACCTCATCGCCGCTGTACTGCTTCAGGCAGTGAAGCAGGCGGCTGGTGTTCGCCAACCAGAAGGACGTCATCTCGAAGTCATCGTTGTTCTTCTGCAGACGAAGGAGAACCGGTGAGAACATCAACAGGCGAGATCAGACAGGTGTTTGTGAGGAGCAGGACTCACCTTGAGCACCTTCTTGATGGCGTTGATGGTGGAGGTGAGCAGAGACTCCACCTTCTGGTCGTCGTTGATGTAGTCGGCGTGGCGGATGCACATGAAGAGGATGTAGGCGGGCAGACAGGGGACTGTAGCCGACACCGAGCTGGGCCTGATGTCTGGAAACAACCGACCACAAACTTGGTAGCCTCCGAAAATCCCCAAAACCACAACATTCATCAGCAACAAACATTCAGACAGTTTCTTCTCTGCTCAGCTCTGATGTTCAGTAAAACACAAACGAAACATCTACCTGAGGTTAAGAGCGTTTTTCATACCAAAACCAGTTCATCCTACATGAATCATTTACAAGGTTTAACCTCCCCTGTGCAGCCAGGAAGCCACCAGTGACTCAGCCGTGAAACATTCACAGAGTTTTAACTGCAGCCAGAGTTTCCTCAGAGAGACTGAAGGAGAATCCAACCTACTGGATCAATGAATAGATGCAGCACGGATCAGAACCAGAGAACAGAGGAGCCAGTTGGTGGAGATACATTCATCTGATGGTGGAACATCTTTCTACATCTGATGGTGGAACATCTTTCTACAGCTGATGGAGGAACATCTTTCTACACCTGATCAACATCTGCAGGACGAGGACCAACATCAGCTCCAGTAGAATCCAGTGATTTGATGAAATCACAGTTTTAGGCTCAGATCTGGTTGATTTTTTCAACAGAACCACATGTAACACGTGATACGTTCAAGGACCAGCTGAAAGTTGTAAATGTGACGATTTTTCTTCTGTTTGGACAGTTTCTGGCTGATGAATGGAGCCATTTTGGGGATTTTTAAAAAAGAAAACACGACATTTAAACCTGGTTAAAGAGAGTTCAAGCTCTCGTAGAGGCTGTGAAGATGTAAGTTGTAAAATATGTCTAGTTTGTGGAGATGCAGTGTTTACCTGTGATCAGGGTCTTCAGCAGCAGAGCCTCGTCCTCCTTGTTGTACTCCAACATCCCCTCAAAGTCCTTCTCTTTCCTCTGAACGGTCACCTGCCGGCTCAGCTCAGGTTTGGACCTGCTGCTTTGAGCTGCAGCCTGAGCAGCTGTAACAAACACACCAGGTGTGATCAGGTGGGACTCCCATGATGCACTGGGCTCCTCTCCATTCAGTTCTATCACTAACCGACCTCCAAACGTTCATGTTCTGTCTGGACTGTTTGCCTGCTCTCCATCTCCTCCCCCGTCCCCACTCTCACCCCGCCTGGTCCAGGCAGACAGCCTGGCCTGGTTCTGATGGTTCTGTCAGAGGTTTTTTTCCTCCCTGATAAAGGTTTTTTGGTCCCTCCCCACCGTTGCTGACTGCTCATAGCAAACCAATCTCTGCTCTTTGTGTACAACTGGTCTCACTGTGAAGCGCTATGAGACGACGAGTCATGAATCGGTGCTACATGAATACAACTGAACTGAACTGAATCAGGTGTGACCAGGTGTGACCAGGTGTGACCAGGTGTGACCAGGTGTGACCAGGTGTGACCAGGTGCGTCTGCTACCTTCCAGCTCCTGGACTTTCTTCATGTAGATCCGGAGCTGCTTCTTCAGCTTCCTCTCATTCTTCTCCAGCTTCTCCACGAGCTCCTTGAGGTCCTGCGAGACACAGAACAACTTGATGAAACCTGAGGCATGCGCTCCGAGTCACTAACCCAAGTCAGTTTAAATTGAACTGAGTCAGACTAAGTCAGTCCAAGTCAGTCAGAGTCGGTCTGTGGCTCCGAGTGGCCCTCGATCCGACTCGGAGCTCCTCCTGCTCCTCACCAGGTTGTCGTTGGTGAGTCGTGTGATCTCCTGCTGGACGCTGAACTCCACCTGAGCCTCCGGAGACAGAGACATGGTGTAGTTCAGGATCTCCTGCTTCTTCTCGATGTCGTCCTTCAGCAGCTCGATCTGAGTGTGGAGAGCCTCCAGCTCGTCTCTGTGCTGCCTGGCTTGAGTCTGCAGCTGAGCCTCCAGCAGCCTGAGGAGCAGCAGAACATCACCACAGTTAGAAGCAGACCTCGGTCAGAGCAGAACAAGCTGCTGTTGGGTACACTGAGAGTGAACCGGGAGACCTCAGGTTCTCCTTCAACGTGTCGCTGTGTGTCCTCATCCGACTGAGCAGATACTCAGAACATTTTGAACAAACACATTTCAAGTTCAAGTCTTTGTGGATAGAATCTGATTAACTTTAGTCAGACTAATGTTGTTCTGGACAAATCAGTCATCGGAACGGTTTTTACATTTTCTATGTCTGAACCGTAGAAGGAGGACGTTCATGAGGAACTCCTCGTCAACACACAACCAACAGACTCCAGAGCTCATGAAGAGAAAAGGCTTTTAGCAGCAGATCCTGCAGCAGCATCACATCACACTGAGCAGAACAAACAGAGACCTGGCCACTTGTTTGAGACCCTGCAGGGCCAGAGCCAGCTCTCCATCTTCATTCAGATGAAGCCAGTCGTGGTCCTCTCTGAGGGTCGCAGCAGAGAGAGAAACAAGAAGCAGAGCAGCTCAAAGGTTAGTCACGAGAAAACACAAAGACAACAGAGAAACACAAAGGAAAGAAAAACTGACGGAAACCAGAGTTCTGAACCAGGAAGCCAGACCAGTGGGTCAGCAGGTATGTTGAGCCTAAAGTCAGAGTTATCAGCATCGCGGAGGTGGCTCGCTATTAAACTGCTAGGTATCCATGGTAACTGGTGCTGTGGAGCTAGGTCTCCATGGTAACTGATGCTGTGGAGCTAGGTCTCCAGCAGCTTCCTGTCCTGCATCATCTCCAGCAGCAGCTCTTTAAAGTCACAGTTCTTGATGTTCCTCGTTGTTCTCATTAGAACAAGCTGCTGGCCAAAGCAGGAGGAACCTGATTGGTCCGTTCACTGCAGGAGAGTCACATGACGCGTTAAACGCCTCCTTTAATGAGAGTCTGAAGAAGAAGACCTGGTTCACTGAGAACGCTGATGAACACCTGCTGATGTCTCTGACTGGAGTTCAGGTTTAGTTGAGACTAACACAGAGAAGCCTGGATTTGTTGAACCTGTTTCCTGGTTCACAAGTCAGAGTTCTGCAGTGAAAACACAAGAACTCAAAGTCTGACAGTAAAATGTGCTTCTGTGTGTTTTCAGGAATCCTTCAGCTGCTGCACTGCTCCAAAGTAACTAAGTACATGTACTCCGACAGCATCACTGCGACACACAGGAAGAATATCATCATGATAATACTGTTTTTAATCTTCAGTTTTGTCATCATTGTTGATATTTTTGGATGTTTTAATACTTCAGTTTTAAATATAATAAAATATTTTCTGATGTTGTTTCTTTGCAATTTTGTCTTAAAACATCCTTTATTATATTTTCAAATGTTTTATTTTTTTGCTAATATCTCAGTTTGATCGTATTGTTAAACTTTCTAAATGTTTTTTTAAATATCGTGATAAGTGACGTGTGTGTGAATACGAAGCACAGCAGCTCCGACCTGCTGCTGCACTCATGCAGTCATGGAGTATTTTTACTGGTTCTTCTTGTTTTTGACCAGTTTAAACCAATGATTAGACATCAGATCAAACTCTGAGTCTCTTCGTCTATGAAATGAAACAACTGCAGCTTTTCAAACAGCATCTTTAAACTGAACAAGAAAAACCTCATTTTATTTGATTTGTTTCTGATTTCTAAGTTATTCGTCTGGTTTTCTGGTCGGTGCTCAGTTTGAGGTCGACGTCTGATTAAAGCTGCAGAAACTCAGCAGAAAAGCAAGAAAAGCAGCAGGACAGGAAGCGAGTGAAGCCTGAAGCAGCGATCAGCCGGATGTGTTTCTGCCTCCTCCAGCCTCTCACCTCTTGGACTCTCGGAGAGCTTCGTCTTTGTCCAGCGGCTCTGAGCTCAGGTTCACTGCAGGAGCTTTATCGGTTTCCTGCAAACAGAAGCAACAAGTTCCTGAACACATGAAGGTGTTTCTGCTGAGCGGCAGTGACTTTGTTCTGTCTGATGAGTCTGAGTCACACCTGACTCGTGTTCAGACAAACTTCTGTCATTCACAAAACGTTTTTGACTCATTCTGGACAAATCTTCATTCATTTTTTTACACAGAGTTGTTTTTCCATGTCGTATGAGATCGTTTGGGTCATGCTGGACACCTTTCTGGATCGTCTGATGAACTTCAGACCCAGTCGGTGTTGTGGACGTCTCAGGGGCCTCACACAGCCTCCTGGTCCACGTCCCCACAGAGTAACTCACCGTCAGCTCGGCTCTCTCCTGCTGCTCGGCGGCGCTCACCAACTGCGTCTTCAGGATCAGAACCTCCTCTTTGCGAGCATCCAGCTCCTCATTGGCTGCTTTCAGCTGACTCAGCAGCAGGTTGTGGCCATCCTGCAGCTGATTGGTCGGGCCGTTCGCCGCCACTCGCTCGGCCACCGTCTTCCTCAGCTCGTTCAGGTCGTTCTTCAGCTTCTTGTTCTCAGATTCCAGCTCTTGTCTCTGCAGAGAAACACTGGTTGAGCTGTTTGGTGTCAGAGGACAGAAACCAGAACCGTTCACAGTGACGGAGCTCAAAGCACAGAATGAGACTGAGTGGATTCAACAGAGACTCGGACTGACTGATGTTCATCATACTGTTAACAGACAGATACGAGACTAACGGAATGACTGACCGCTGATGGATTAATGGACTAATCTTGGTGTCAGATCCTGGTTTTATTGGATCAGAACCGAGTTCACAAGGAGCCACAATAACAATATTATGACACATCTGTGCATCTCTGCTGTGTTTCAGGATAAAGAGGCGTTTCTGCTCCACCAGGTGGCGCCGCTCGTCAGCAGCCTGAACCCGGTTGTGTTTGTGTCTCTGAGCTTCTGTACTTTGTCTCTCTGTTTCTGCTTTGATGTGACTAAACGTTGACTTAACGTTAATTAAACATTGACTTAACGTTGATATTCAATTAAACGTTGATCAATGACTAAATTTGAACATTGACCAAACTCAAACGTTGACTAAGCGTTGACTGAACGTCGTTGGACCGCTCCGTGGGTCTCGGACCCGGTACCTTCAGGTTGCTGTACGTCAGGTCTGCAGCCTGCTGCTCTGAGGTCGGACTCTTGGACTCGGAGCCCTGAAACAGAACAAACATGGAGGTCAAACCGTGTCGGTGTCTCTGGGGAACAAACGCTGACGGAAGACGCCACCTTGCGCTTGGCGAGCTCCTCCATCTTGTCGGCGGCGCCCTGCAGCCTCTTCCTCTCCTGCTCCAGCTCCCGGACTCTCTTCTGCAGCTTCATGAACAGGCTGATGTCCATGGCGGCCTTCTCCACACCCATATCCTGCAGAAACCGTCAGAGTTCAGGACCAACGAGCAGCTTCACAGGCTGCCTCAGAAGAACGGTGGGAGCTACCGAGCTCTGGAACGTCTTCACTAAAGGAGACTCAACCCAACGTCCCACATCACCCTGACTCCTGCCCTCTGGACCCTGCCGTCTACACACTCCATGCATACACACTACACAAGTAAGGGCTGCTGGGACAGTGAAAACACAGTTCTGTCTGTTGCTGTCCCAGTTCTGGTTCCGACAGGCTGACCCACCTCCACCAGCTGGATGGAGTCCTCGGTGTCGCCAACCTCGGAGGTGGATACGGACGGGTAGTTGGAGTCGGATTCCAGGCTGCTCTGGTTGGAAGGGTTCCTGCGGTGTCCCGGGTGGAACTGCAGAACAGGAGCAGATTGGGTCAGGTTCTGGTGACCCGGTCTGACTGAGCTACAGAAGCAGACTCACCTTGGACAGAGAAACCTCCTCCTTTAGGTTGTCGTATCTCTGCTCCAGTCTGCCGAACTCTTTGAGCAGGTTCTGGTACCGCTGACGTTCTGCATCCAGCTCTTGCTGCAGAGACTCACTGCTGGGCTCCTCTGAAACCCAACCAAGGTGACGTTATTAACCCCCGTGGGTGGGTTTGCTTTGCAGAAAAAACAAATGACAGCGTTTGGCAGCCTGTAACTCAAACACGTGCGCTGACAAAGAGCTGAGATAAAATAAAAGAAGAGAAACGTCAGGGAAATAAAAACCAAGACAAGAACAAAACACGTCATTTAAAGGTCACAATGATAAATAGAGCTACGAAATGAAACAAGTAGAATAAATACAATCAAGTCACGACGTCTGGTTGAGCTCAGTGAGGCGACAGGAGCAGAGCTGTTTGTAGCGCGCTGTCCGGCCTGAAACCCTCCGTCCTGCTGGACCAGACGGCAACTCACCAACCATCTGGACCAGCTCACTGTTCGGTTCAGGGACTGTTTCTCTGTCTGACCAAAGCAGGCCACCAAGCAGACAGACAGAGCAGACTCAGTAAGATAATGTGGAAGCCCTTCCTGAGCCATTCTGGTTCCACCGAGGCGTTTTTAGGACTGCTCTATTTTGTGACCTTTAATTAACTTACCAAGGAACCAACAGCTCTGATCTTCTGGACCTCACCACATCTGCAGCTCATCATGAAGTCCCATAAAACACTCACTGCTTTTAGGCAGTCGGACCCGGTTTGGACTAATTCTGAGTCATTTCTGTTTTTGTTTTTTTTAAAGTTATTGTTGTGGCCTTTGTGCCTTTATTTGATAGAGCAGTGAGAGAGAGAGAGACAGGATGGGGGGAGGACGTGTGGGACAGGGCCCTGAGCGGGACTCGAACCCACGACCTCCACATGGGGACTGGAGCCCTGCACATGGGACGCCAGCTCCACCAGGTGAGCTGTAGCGGCGCCCCTAATTCTGAGTCATTTCTGATGAATTCTAGCTCATTTAGTTTTTGCCACATTTTGAGCAATTTTAAACAAATTTGTTCATTTTGGACCAACTCAGAGTAATTTTGAGACAGTTTAGACGACTTTTAATTATTTCAGACAACTGCTGAGTCATGTCGGACCACTGGACCGGCAGATCCTGCGTGACCACTACATGTGACGCTGTGAGCTGTTTCAGTTGTTCCACTCTGAGCACGAACCAGGTGGGTCATCAGGTACCAGCATCTCACCTTCGCTGCTCTTTGACTGCTGAAGAATCCGTCGGTTCATCTCCTCCTTCTCACTCTTCAGCAGAGAGTTTTCTTTCTCCAGCTCCTCCACCCGCTGCACAACAACAACAACACAAGTCCTCAGGGACACACTCACTGTGCTGAGGTCTGAAGACCTGAACATCTGTCTGAAGGCTCCTCCTCAGAGACAAGAGCATACATGATCTCTCAACATGTTCAGTTCTCAGTCCTGAAGAGCAGAAAATCAGCTTTCTGACCATCTGGAGACTTTGGTCATTAGAATCCAGCTCAGCTTCAGTAAAGTTCAAACAGGTTCATCAGCTACTTCCTGGAGCTCAACTTCCTGATTTATTTAACTTCACAGTTTTTATTGTCCACAGTTGAAAAGTGTTTTCTTCTAAGTCTGAAACAAAGTTTGAGCAGATTGGATGGACGGTGCCAACACACGACTGTTTTTATTCACTTTCAAGCTGATTTGACATGAACGAGTGAAAACAGTCACTCTGTGGACACGTTCTAAACCCCTGTGGACACGTTCTAAATCACTGTGGACATGTTCTAAATTACTGTGGACGCGTTCTAAA